CTGTCCTTAGCGTCCCTGCAGGGCAGCTGTGCAAGGCAGAAGCCCTCAGCAGGGCAGCAGGGAGGAGCTGGGGTGCCCCCCAGCCTGTGCTGCGCTGGCAGGACTCAGGAGAGCAGCCTGACCTCACCCTGACAGCAATGCCCCTCTGCCACACTGCCTGGGAGCCTGCGCCAGTGGGACTGGTAGCCACGAGAAACCCAACCAGCTGTGTTGACAGGTAGGTGAATCAGGGTGGTGTAGCCACCTTCTGAAAAGCAAAAATAATCTCAAAGATGTTAAAATGACAAGAAAGTTCCACGGTTATCATAGAAACATAGAATATCCTGAATAGGAGGGGACCCATAGGGATCATCCAAGTCCAACTCCTGGTCCTGAAGAAGGACATCCTCAAGAATCCCACCATGTGCCTGAGAACCTTGTCCAAATGCTTCTTGAACTCTGTCAGGCTGGCACTGTGATCACTGACCTGGGGGTCCTGTTCCAGTGCCCAGCCACCCTCTGGGTGAAAAGCTTCCTAATATCCAATCTAAACCTCCTCTGGCACAGCTTCATGTCATTTGGTCCGCTTTTATGTGAGTTTCTAGTTGAACACGTGGCCACTTAAGCTCTGTCCCTGCAGTAACAGCAACTATTGCTTATTCCTGATCTCTTTATCATGTTGAACTTCAGACAGAGAAGACACTTGTCTGGCTGAAAGGGTGCACTCTAAACCAGAACCACCATGCAGAGGAATTGCCTAGGCATCTTTGGTGTTTTTGATGCAAAAAGGATGCCTCTGACAAAACCTTCTAATTGCTTTAACTGATACATTTGAGTTCCATGGAAGAGCGAAGCAGAAAAAAGGCCATTTAGTTTTGGTCCACAAAAGAGATGGGATAAGTGAATAACTGGAGCTGGCTCAAAGGGGTTTCTTCTAAAGTGCCTCTACTGATGACCCAGGAGGAGCAACACAGGATTTCTGCAAGGTTGATGCCAAGGGAATGGACCCTGCAATTTGTGGCAGGGATTCCACTGACTTCTGTGTCTCTAGAGTCTGAAAGAACTCCCCAAAACACCACAGCATCTGAAAGAGGACATTTCCCTTGTGGTGTATAAATCCTTAGTCAGATCATGGCATTTGTTCAGCACTGACTAAGCTGTCTTTCTGTTGCACAGGTAAGATGTAAGAAATGAAAAGACCTCAAGGTTTCTCTCCCTGTGACCTGGCAGAAAGTACAACACTAGATCTTGGCCAAACTGCTCACGCACGATTACTGTCAAAGATCTGAGCCAGGTCAGCTCTTTATTCAGTCATAGTGATAGGATAAGTTAAAGGGTAAAGCCCTGAGAACTGCCTTAGCTTGCAGTCACGGAGCAGAATTATTGAATTCTCCCCTTGAAAAACTCCGACCTGTATCTAGTAAGCCCTATCTAAGCAGCAAACAGCAGGTCTTTGTGAAAAGGGACAGGTTATCTTAAAGAAGAGAGTTACTTTTCTGACAGTAGCTTAGCTGCACCACACTGCTTTCATGCTTTATAAAGAAACATCTACAGTTTAGCCTCATTTTCTTAGCAAAGCCAGATGCTCACATATCTTCAGAGCTCAGGAAACCATGAGATCTTGTTAGCAAAACTGCTGTATGAAGCAGATTACAGAATATATTCAGTTCATCCAATATGTTTATTGATATGAGCATATACTGGGAATTCTTTATTCCCCAAGTACAACATCCAGAGAAATATGAGAACATTTATACTAAGGGAGCAAAGAGAGGTGGAGAGATTTCACAAATTCTTGCAAAGGAATTATTAAGTCTATATGAAAGGATTTCACCAAGCACATAGTAAAGAAACATTTCTTTCAGCATGATAAGTTGTTCTGGTTTTATCTTTCCACTATTACTTCTTTACATTCATGCTGGTGCCTGTTTTTATCCCCAACAGTACAATCTTTAAAAGTGTGACAACAAAGTATTAATATTTTAATGTGCTTTGTTTTGTACTTTATTTTTTACAAGGCAGAATGCCAAACAGTGTTGAAGTTCTTTGTAGTGGAGAAAATATCTTGAGAAGTTTTAGGGAAGGGCAGTTTGAAGGGCAAAACAATAAAACAAAACAACCATAGAAAGAAAGAAAGTCAACAACAGGTGATTTCAAAATGAAAGCAAACTAGTGTGTAAGAAGGAGGTATCAGATTATTAAAAAAATTTAGAAGAGCTGCTTTGAGGAGATGTCAACATTTGTGCAACTTTTTAGTGGTTTTTTTAGAGAATGCAAGGCTGCTTAGATAAAATTCAGTATCTTACAGAAAGCAAGAACAGTATCCCTCTTTCACTTACAGAAGACTTGGATTTAATCTCATAAAATGCTTTTTATTATTCATTGAAAAGGCTGACTAATGCATATGTTCTATTCCTATTCCATTTTTTATGTGTCTTTTCTCTTCTCACCTTTATATCCTTTCAATAGCAACATTATCCTCTTTGTGAAAATAAGTGTCCTGTGAGCCTAAGGACCAGAGCAAGCTGGGACTGAGTCAGCCCTCATTTCCTGAGGGACTGGTACAGCTGGTGTCCCATCAAAATCTCCATGGCAAAGCCCAGACAGGACCCCTCCTGCAGGACCTTGGGCACCAAAGTAACAGGGACATGAAACAAGCCATGGCACTGGCTTGGGCAGAGCCCATTTCTGAGCTTAGACTCTACTGCCAGCACCTCATAGTGAGAGAAAGTCCCCAGGGAGACAAATGGGAAGAAAAAGACACTTCTGGAGATATGTTCTAGTCCAGAGTGTAGGTAAGGGCCAAGTGGGAAGTTGGCATTTGGATAAGGCAAGGGAGTGCTGCAGCAAGCACGGCGTGGTGGCTGAGGCCAGGGAAATAGGGAAACTCCTTTCTCTGGAGGGAGTGGAGCCTGTGCTGCAGGGATAGAGGGCACTCAGGGTGGATGGGCTCCTTACTGTGCTGGGTAATTCCTCTCCTCTGCCCTGAATCACAGCACACGCCCCTGGCAGCTCGGGAGATGGGGCCACAGAGAGTCAGACATTGAAGAATTTGAAGCAGAAAAATCTCTGGGGAATTCTCCCTGCAAGCCAGGAGCAGGGAAAACCAGAGAGCTGGAATCAGAGGTGCACCAGCCTTGCTCTTTGTGTGCGCAGACTGCTTCTGCAGTGCCTGTCAGCAGCAGGTGCCTTCCACAGCACAGTGCAGAGGCCCCAAGTGACACAGAGAGCCTCCCTACTCCCAGCTGACCCTGCTGCCTGACACAGCACGGACCAGGCACTGAAAACATGAAACAGCTTGCTTCCCAAAACATTAGCCTTCCTCACAACCATAGCTTCATCCTATAAAGACCATCATTTTATTCCTTGCACGCCACACCTTTCCAGAATCTGTGATTTGAGAAGTGAATTAGATTTTTAAATGCAGTATTGTATGTAAAAGATACAGTGATTTTAACAGAAATACAAAGATGTGCCCAGATAATGAAAATTATTTAACATATGAAAAAATGGTATAATTCAATCAGTAACCAAATTTTGATTAAAAACTGGTGAAAATTATTTACAAATAAGTGTTCTAGGCATGTTTCTCATTTTGACCTTTCAAGATCTGTTGTCACATTTGCTATTCAGTCAATTACAGCACAAACAACTGAATTGATTTCTTGCCTTTTTAGTTTAAATGCCATAATACATGCAAGAGAGTCTGAGCTTCAGTGAGTGTATTTCCAGGTCATCAGCAATTAATTGAAAAATTTAACCACAAGAGATAGACCTTTATAAAAAAAAATCCAAAGCATCACAGAGGATGTACACATAGTTCCATCTATCTGCAGAATATTTAGCATTCCTAAACCCCATTTTTAACATATTTTAAATATATTATTAGTTTAATAATTATTTTCCATATTCTATATGGTAGCTGGTCTCTTTCTTTTCTGTTTTCCATCAATGCAAATCAGACTAGGATACCATAGTTGTCAAAAAATTGCAACACTAAGAAAATGGTATGTGGTAAGTAAATGGTAAGTAAAGCCAGTAAAATGAAAAACATTTATGATTTTTTATTCTCTTTCTTTTGAAATAAATGCTGCTTTACTACGACTTAACTGCCAACTGACCAAAGAATGATAAAAGGTTACAGCTTATGTTAGATAATTGTTGGGTTTGTTCATACTTTCACAATCTAGTCTGAAATAAATATTAGTGGATCTGACTTGATATTTAAGGAAAAGTAAAACTCTTACATTTACTGATTTCAATGAAATCACCCTTAATTCCATCAGTGTAGCAAGTATAATTGATTGCAGTACTAATTTTTGTTCATTGCAGAGTTAGCTTCAGTTTACATTTGTTATGTACCAGTAATATAGCACTGCTTCCTTACATCACCCTAGCTCTAAAAATAACATTTCAATACTGCTGAATCAAAAATGTATGCACAAAAAATGTGACTACCTGGCTAGCAGTGCAGCCATTTTCATTGCATACACTAAGCATCTTTGTTTCCTTAGAAAAAGAAAATCTCTTTTGAAATTAACTTCTTAGCATACAAATAAAATACAAATGAGTGATTTCAACCCATTTAAAAACTGATATCTTGAGCTAGACTTCTATTTTCTACAAGCAGTATGCAGTGGCAGTTGTATTTTTGAGGGGAAATCATGGATATTGAACACAAGTTAGATGTCAAAACAGAGAGTTTTACCCTAATCCTCTGAGAAAGGTAGAAAAGCACTCCCTGATTTCCATGGGAAGATGACTGAGCTGTGTTCTTAGGAGACTCCTCCAGTCTCAGACAGAAACTGCTTAGCCTGTTGCACCAAACAGAGGCAGCCTTGCCCCTCTAAAGCTGCTGAAATGGTCTAGTACTGTGCTCACATTGAAACACTCCAGAAGACAAGCACTGTGTTCTGAGAGGTGATGATGTGTTTGCAGTGTCTGTGCTCAAAGTGGAATCTCATTAGAAAAACAGAAATCTTGCTGTAGCGCCGTGTAGTAAGATAGGACATGCAACGCATGAATTCATTGAATCCCAAGGGTGATCATCTGCCTGAAATTCTTCTCCAGATAAGCATGTTCACACATGGCAAAAAAAGCTCTCAAGTAGCAACAGTTATTACTGCTTAATAAATATTCACATTATTTCTCAACAGGCAATGTACCCACTGGGCAAAAAAAATAATAGTATGCTAATGAAGGATTAGACAGACATGGGCTAAATTAGTCTTACTACAGTTCTGTTAAGCTTTTGGGTGTGTATTACATGACATTACTGTTTAATACCATAGAACAAAAATTTCTCTCTCTCCTCTTTTTTAAAATTTTTTTCCCCTTTCTTCTTCTTCTTTATTGTTTGTTTGGTTTTGGTTTTCTTCTCCTTTAGAAAAAGAAGTAGAGGTTTTCTGTCCTAGGTTAACTTCCAAGCATTAAGAAAAGTAACATAACCTGAATATTTATATGATTCACATCTAAAGCTCTTAATTGCTAGACAAGATGCTGCTAGAATTAATGTAGCATAGCAGCCAAAGTAGTCCTGAACATTATTCAGTACTCCAAAGTATACAGTATGGGTGTTGTCATGATACTGCACAGTATTTGAATAAATGTACCTTGAGGAATGTGACAGAAGCCAGATTTAAGCAGCTGCTGGCATTTCTATTCTGAATACAGCTGATCTCCAGAATACCACTATTCTGACTCCTAAAACCTCTCATATGCCTGTTCATTCTTTGCTTCACAGAAGACTCAGCAGCTGGTTTGGTTTTCTTTTCACCATTAGCAGAGGTGTCTTTGTAAGGATCCTTCCAGTGAAAATCGCTTGGAACAGCTCAGAAAGTCTCAAGTTTAACAGAGAATGCCCCTTAGCTGGAAGGGGAAAAATCTCCATCAGCAATCCCCTGCTAGGCTCTTTCAAGTCCTCCCTAAACAGTCACTCAATTGATTGGTATTTTTAAAGCTTTACTGATAAATAAGGTCCTGGTATTCAGAAGGATTTCACAGAGTTAAATGATACCAGCAAAATACACAAATATAGATCCACAAGGTACTCTGAGCTATCTCCTCTTAAAAAACAACCAAAACCCAGCAAAACAAGACAAATCAAAACCAACCTGAACATGTTAACTCTTTATGATATATCTGTTTCTTAAATATCCCAATTGCTTTCAAACTTTTCCTTGGAGCTGGTCTCTGTTTAATTAATTAATCACAGTATTTGCACATCTTGAATGTTTTGTTTTAATGTCTCACTCCCTTCTGTGGATTTCTCAGCTGTGAGATTTTAATGAGAGCCATTTCTCATGTTTTTATGCAGAATTATTATACGGAGGAGAAAGTGATAATAACTCAGTCTTCTCTTAATTACACTTCTAATTATTCTTAGAAGTTTATTTATAATTGTGTCTGCCAGCAGGATTTGTTTCAATTATCATAGCCAGATTGGAAATGGAGCTGAAATGAATTCTTTCTGTAAACAACCATATTTTAATACATGCAAACAAGAAGTATAAATATTTATTTTTAACTCAAAATTCTTCCTTCTCTGATAGTCACTCCTATAAACAAAAATCTTAGAGAATCATGTAAAATTTTTGCCCTTCAAAACTAATAATACTTAAGGTAGCAAATGTTCTCAGAGGACAAAAAAAACTTAATTAAGACAAAATCTATTTATGGTCAAAGAGTCTTTTTTTCCTTCCGTAAATGGTAATAAGGGCTTTTATGTTAAAAGTCTTCAGATAGGAAGCTTCACCTCTAGAGGCACAGCAATGCCATTACTCAAAGAGAATAAGTGTTCTTTCAAGGGTGAATGGGAAAGAAATATCTATTTTTGATGCTGTTAGATTCCCACTTGCAAGATAGGAAACCCCTTGTTTACCACAGTATTTCTACAATGATGCAGATCTCCTCTGAAAAGTAAGCTACCCAGAGATCTCAGATCAGGAAACCCTGTTTTCAGGGAGAAACTGTTCAACAAAAATCATCTTTAGAAAGTACAATCCTATACATATTATTTCATTTTTCATATGAAATAACATTATTTTAACCACAGTAATCAATCTAGAAGTAATTATAGGACAACTGAAAGAGATTTAGAAATGGCTATTTCAGTATGCACAGATGGTTGATACACACATTCTCTTTCAATTGTATTAAATGTATAAAAGTTAGGGATTAATTTGGAGTGAGATTAATTTGGAGTGAGATTCATATCTTTGCTATGGAAAGAAATAATAGCTATTGTTAGGCAATGGATTTTTAACCTGACAGACAGAAAATGACAATGTGCTATACTGCTAGTTTAAAATCCAGAGACAAACAGCTTGCCTTCATATCAAACACATTTCCCTTCGACACCAGTCCCCTGCAAGCCCCTGCTCCCTCAGCAAAATGAGCACGGGAGGAGAAGCCTGTGAGACTTACCTGCTTGCCTTCAGAGGATGAAGAAGTTTAAAGCATCAAAGTTCTCATGATAATCAGTCACTAACACTTAGCTTATGCGGAAATAATTACATTCTTCCATCTTTTAGCTTTCTCACTGACTGAAAGCTGGTGATGGATGCAGCAGCCTTGTTAAAGTATCACTGTAATCCGTTCAAGCTCTGGAGATTGCTTAGAAAACCAAGTCATAAACATGCAGTGTAGCTTCACAAGCAGCTCAGCATTTTCCAAGCGTGCCCATGGCTTCCTTTTCCAGTGCTGTACTTCACAGAGCACTCGACCTATCTTCCTTTGGGTAAGAGAACACGGTTGTTCAAAGCAAATCCTACATGAACAGAAGAGTTCTGTGGGTTTGTTTTCTCACATCAAATAGTTATTATTTTAGGAAAGGAGACACCCTTTATGGTTCTGCTTGCTGCTGTTCCCTCGTCAAGAAAAAAAAAAGAATAAAAAAATCTTCAAATAGAAAAGCAAGAAGCAAAGAAGAGGATACAGCAGTTCAAGAAGCAGCAGGCAAGGATGGGTGTCTTGTGATTGCTTTGAGTTAATACTCCTCAGGGGGAGTTGAAAAAAGCACAAATACAGCAAAATCTGTCTTACAGAGTAAAAATCTGTTGTATAAGCCAGTCTCTGGCAAAGTAAAACAGCATGTGCATTTACCCCATTAATTTCTAGCATGGCAGAGTGCAAAGGAAATTGGTAGCTTTCTGTTTACTAACTGCAAACAGGTAGGAAGGAGGAAAGAAAATTCAGTATGCATAACTTCTCTAATTGTTTCTGCTCTCCTGAGAAATGTATCAGATCTATTGTGAAAGCTGTATTTATCAGTACCACAGAACATTTTATCATTATCAATATTTTCTGGAGCATATGTGGAGAATGAGCAATTAAGAGTGCAGCATCCCCTAGATGCAAACAGCACATTTGTGACTGGTCTTCCAGTAGCTTAAATGTAACAGGTCTTTGGGCTCTCTGGAAAATACGAATATGAAGAACAAGCATCATAAGTACTAAACACTTTGGAGTAACTGACCTAATTACTGGCACCAAGTGATGGGAACTTCAGCCTAAAAACCTTAATTCAAATCTCCCTGAAGCCCATTAAAATACATTTTGAGAGGCTGTGGATGAGGACCTTTGCCAGCTGGCTCCTTTGTCCCTGGGCATCAAAACACAGCTAGATCACAAAATCACCAAAAACAACTTGGAAGGAGCTGGTTGAAACCCTGCTCTGACCTGAAGTTGTCCTGGATGTGACAGTGTGATGCTGGGTTTGAATCTGCTCAGATAATATATGCAGCACAAACACATGCCTGTTCCTTCAGGGCCAAGAAGAAAACAGTCCATTTATTTGTATGATGAACCCAGTCACAGACCAAAATGCCACTGAGCCAAATGCTATTCAAGCAGAAAACAAAGAAACTCCTCAGCTGCATGAATTTACTGTCCAGCTGTCACCTTTCATACTTTCCACACATACTACCCACCTGCAGTGCCACCAAATCTTGCAGAACACAGCGTTCTTGACTTTAAAGCTTTCCAGTTATTAACCCAAGATACTTTGGGTCATTTTTTCCCCATAGCAGAGCTTGATCTCACCCTTTCCAATCAGTGAAAACATCATATTTTGAAAAAAAACAATTATCTTCTCTTTTCATTGCACCTTGTTGTTAGAGAGGTTGGAGTCAAAGTGCATCTGTGTTATCCACTGAAAATATGGGGGAAAAGAAACAGAGCCATGTTTCATATTCAAGCTCTGAGGAACTGCACATGCCAGATACAGCAAATACCAATCCTTGGCACAGAACAAATCACTGATAGCTCAGGGCTTTGCCTCAAAATGCTGTAGCACTTAGTTTGTGTATTCCTCTTTTCCATAGTCACAATTCTGCATTCTGCTGCAATCTGACTATTCTAGGCTTCCATGTTCATGGCAAACTGTCTTCCTTTTGAGGGAGCTTTGGGGCTGATCCTGTAGGGAAAGCATTTGCTCTTATGTCCCTGAGCATTAGATATGCTGACTACTCTCTTTCTATATCTGATGCCCAGGTGGAGGGCAAATACTCTCTAGATGGACAGAAACCCCACTGCCTCTGGAATAGCCACAGATAGGAAGGTGAGAACACAGCTTTTTGAGCACTGAAGAGAAAATTCTAGCCCACCGCCCAGTCCAGCAACTTTCAGTAACATCTTGAGTTGTATCAACTCCATTCAGACCCTACTGGGTCCCTAAGAAAATTTCCCTCTTGTCAGCTTTGCAATTTGGTTGGGTGTCTGAGCCCTCCCACTGGCCCAGGGCTGCTTTCCAGAGCACCACGTGCAGCACCCCTGAGATGAAAAGGCAGAAAAGCAGCAATTGCATCACCTAACACAGCACATGCAAGCAAAGTGCACTTCCACCACAGAGAAGCTCCACTGGTGCAGCTTGCAGTGCTTTGTGCAAACACTGGCCTGAAACCACAGATGAGGGGCTGCTCCAGCACTGCCCCTGCATTAAAGCCTCTGCTGTTACATGGCAGAAATCTCAATGCACCTCCTCTTTTCAACTCACATTTGACTTCTAAATATGCTTGCAATGCATTGTGTATTTTTAGCATGCCCAGGGTACCTATTTTGGGTTACCAGCCTGAGAAATCATTGAAGAGGTCTGATGTTGAATGAACCTTTGAAAACTGGTGCATTTAAACATTGGGCAATAGGGGAAGAAAAAAATTAGAAAGACAGGTATAAGATATCAGTAGCTTCTTCCAGAAACAGAGGTCAGCGGCCATGAAATTTGTCACTATCTTGTTAAGCATCAAGAACTTCAATGTTTTGACACCACAAAGTGCACCTGCCTCTGGAAATTATTTTGAATGTCTGAATTATCCCTCTTCCATCAGATACAATAATCTTAGTGCAAAAATATTTGCTTTATATTCTGTAAAGATACTTCCAGCACTCAAAGATACATTTTGGGAATAGAGGTCAACGTGTGTATGTCCCAAAGGTAGGATATTAATAACACTGGAAGATCTATAGTTTTCCATAAGACATGGCATTTCAGCTACTGACTGTGAAAAATTGAATTTGTTCCAAGGGTTGTTTTTGCATAGGAAGGTGACACTACCCTTGCAGAGGACTTGTGGGTATTCCCCTCTCATCCTGGGAAAGTCTGGCTGTCCCAGAAAGGACTCTGAGCATCTTTAGTGCTTTATGAAGGTCAGAAGGAACAGTAAGGGTATACAAGCTCCTCAAGGAGCCAGGATCCTAACAAGCATAATATAATGCTGTATTGTGTCATCTAGATTTTCTTACATACTATTCCAACATGAAAAAAGCCTTGGACAGACTGGGAACAATTAATTTTATGAAATACATGCATCTTCCCAAGCACAAAAGACCTCCAAATATTCTTTTTTGTGTATCCTGCCGAGAGAATCCTCATCAAAGCAATTCTTTGTATCTTGGCAAGTTGTCTTCATTAAAGAGTATATCCTGCATTATTTCCTTGCTGAAATATAATCAAATGGTGAAACAGTCCCAAGACCAAAAACAAAATACTAAAAAATATAGCTACTAAAAGTTAGCACTGTCCAGGGTGCAAAGCCTTGAGAGAAGAACAATAAACAAGAAATACAAAGATAAACAGAGGTGGAAATTGGTGTCTTTAACATTACTTTTATTTCTAGCCAGAAACATAAATCCTGATGCATTCTGTGCATATCCATATCACTTCTACTTGTAGCTGCAGCAGCAAGAAATTAGAGAACTGTGTTTAATTTTGATTAAGCTCAAACAGTTCTTTTATGTCAGATATGAGATTAATTCTAACACTGCAGAGCTGGACATGCTGCCATTGGGCTATCTGGTGTTCCCTGTAAAAGAGTAGAACCTGTAATTAAACATGCCCATATCATGCCAACACATGTGCCAACATGAATCTAAACTGACAAACAGCTTTTTATTTATCGCCCTGTGCTCAGTGTAAGTGCCCAAATATGAGAAAGTAAGTGCCAAGCTTGAGAAAGAGGCAGAATTTTCTTCATGGTTCAGAAAGAGAAACCCTTTATCAAAGGAAAATTATTCTGGTCTTTCAGCTGCTTTAAGAGAAGGTTACAACACATTCCTTTCAGGCACCATGCATGTGATGGATGGGGGAATACTGTAATAAGCTGCCAGGATATATCGATATAATGCCATTTTTTCCCTCAGACTTTCATGAACTCTATAGGGTCCACTCTGAAGTGAGCCAGGTCCATTAGCTCTTGAAAAAGAAAAAGTTCTAAACTGCTCAATCCTCAGAACCCTAAAAACAAAAGATAAATTACAAAATGGAGGTGAAACAGAAAGAGGATGATTGAAGGCCAAATCAAGAATAAAACTAGTGGTGGAAAGGCTAAGGGCAGGGCTAAAAAATAGACATGTTGGGGAAAAAATGATCTGTGGGAAGAGAGTTACAGGTACAGGCTGAGGAGGCAAATGTATGACAGCATTGAAACTCATGGTAAAAGGAGAAAGGTGTGAAGCAAACAGCCTGGGATCATGAATTCAGGTAAGAAGGCAGAAGACATCCCAGACTGCAACTTGATCTTGTCATGGAATTCACTGCTCAGTTCAAATTCCCTTCTGATCCAATCCCTGGCAAAAATTGGGGGGAAAAACAAGGTGAGAATTATTTTAATTTGATTGCTTTTCCTAAACAGTTTTAGCTGGTCTTTCTGCACTAAGATTTTAGTAAGATTTTTTACTGAAGTCAGTTCTTTCAGCTATTCTGTGTTTGCTACATGCCATAGAGGTGCCTGGGATCTGGATAACCAGAACCAAACTACTTTATCACTGAGGACTGGGTCAAGTTCTTGAAATCTGAGCTGAAGCAATTTCAGCAAATACTGCTTCACCCTTTCAATGCCATTTTCAAATTAAAAGTCACCACCACCAAGCTGCCAAAGGAGCTGTTTAAGCTATGTATTTCTGCAGGGCACTGATATGCATTAGCTATGATCTTATGGATGCTTACACTGTCTCCTCTGACCAGAACAGCAATTTCCAGCTCAAAAGTATGCAAAAGTTGAGAGTGCTTGCTTTTAACTCCTTTTGACTCCCCAAACCACACCAGTTTATATTTTTCCTGGTTTCATTTTTAATAACATGCATTGTTTTCCACCAGGTCCTAGTCATTCAGTGAGTGTAAGAGATGCCCAACTAGAATCCCAAAGAGATCACAACCATGGATGTAATGGCAACAGGTGTGGGACTATTATATCTTACAAATATAAGCTTATAGGTTGATTCAGGTAGGAAGGAACCTCAGGAGGTCATCTAGTGAATGACCCAGTTTCTCTTGCTTATCAGAAGTACCCAACTTGTTCCCAACTTAGCTGTAAGAGAACATTTTTACTTTTGCACCTCCTGAACAGAAGGGAAAGACTTTGTTTCATTTCTTCTCAGTTTTTTCTCTGACTGCATTCCTTCAGGAAAAGACAGTGCTTATTATGAAGGTATTACAATCATTCTCACTGCATGCTAGACTGTAAAGTTCATAAAACAAAAAATAAATGAACCACAGTAATCTTATATCAGTTTCTGTCTTGATTCATGCATGGCATGAGGA